CCCCCCCGTCACCAGCGAGAGATCGAGAGGAAGAGGAGGAGTTGGACTTCTTGCCCTTGGGGGCCTTGTTACGCTTACGCGACGCTGACATCGCCTTGCTCCACAGGGAGGATGGAATATTTCGTGATTCCCGTGCTGTGTCGACAAGTGGGTGGTCGAACGGGGGCACGCAGCAACAAAACATGGAGGGCCGTCCTTGATAGAGTTGTGTGTATCTGTGTTGAGGTTCGACCCTTTTCCTTTCTCTCTCTTTGAGCTCTTTTGTGCTCGCGGTGCACAGGCGCGGAAGACATAGTCTGGTCCAATATCCCCCGATGGGGGTCGGAAGCTGATGGCAGAGAGGGGGGTCTTAGGGTCCGTGATCTATGCGAGACTAAACTATGCTAACTGGATGGCGCTGATGGACGTGCACTGCTGAAGCGCGCATTGTAGATCGCCTCTATGGGATGCCATGGCTGCAGTGAGAGACAGATCCTAAAATAGCAATTAGCATAATGTGTTGTCCGAGGGCATACGCGGGTGGGAACTACTACAGGGTAGGTACCCTTAGGCGGCGGCACGACCATGGTGACCACGCACGACCCGCGGGTTTCTACCCTGATGTGCATGTGGACGTGCGAACACACCTCCGACCCGGCAATCACTGAAGCACACATACACTGGTACGCTGGTGGTGTGTGTTGTGCCAACGTCAAAAAGGTGGGGGGCAAGTCGAATTGAGAATTCGACCGGAGCAGAAATGCTGGACAAGCCTCAATATCGTAGCCTCGAGACTCATCTCTGCTGTTTCCCCAGCACAACCAGTACTTGTGCGTCGTGCCGGCTGGTTTACAGGCCTTACAGGCCTTTTCTCCTCGTCTTGTTTCCCGTCTTGTGCTGTATGGTAGATACCAACACACGTGGGACAACGTAATTGATCGCGTACGCATACTTCGTGTGCAGAAATGTACAGTACCACATAATCTAACATGAAAGGGAGGCCATCCGTTGGAGATACGGCAGTTGTACCTTGTAGTAACCCATGTCGAAGGGACGCATGAAATTGAACAATTTACAGTACAGCAGAGGATAAGAATTTAGGCACACCTGCTAGGAACTGACCGGCGTTTGCATTTTCAGAAAACTGGTGAATCTCCAACAGCTCAAACGACTATAGGACTCCGAAGTGTACCGTTGTTGTATGTGCAGCATTCCCTCTATGCTACAAGTCAGCGCTGGTTTGTAGCATAATGGATACATGTGCTGTCCATCTAACGGGAGGACTCCCGGCTCGAGAAATCTGTCGGAAGGATAATGATGTCCGCTGGCATGCTACAATACGCAAATTTCAGAGTCCGTGTACTTTGAGGAATCAGTCTTGCCCGACGATTGTTGCGCTTGATGCTCTTGGGCCTACATGGTATTGTCGGAAAAAGATCAACGCGCCTTCGCTCGTCAAAGTAGGAAGAGCACTTCTGCTTCGGATGTGCTACCAACTGATGGACCGTCAGTGTATTTACTTCGCGTTTCCGCCTATTGGAGAAACAAGTAACAGCCTCTGATGTTCAGAAACGTGCGCCTTTCGTGTGACTATTTGGCAAGGGACTGAAAAACCGGCTTCCCTAATACTGCTGTGATGGCACGGCGTTCTTGCGAGTACTATTCGAAACGAGGGAATCACACAAACCCACCCTCCTTCGACTTCACACACAGCGGCAGGAGAACGCGGATAGAATATCGCAACCTCATGTGTCTTCGCCCGTGATGGTATCGTGGCATACATGTGTATCCCCCTTGACAACTGGGCTCTACATAGCACCGAAGCGTTCTATCTGATAGTGACGGGTGACACGAGACAACACACCCTTGTAGCATATCGCGGCGTACGTACTGCTGTCTATGACAAGCACCCTGATTACCATCACCGGAGCCGTGGTGTCTACCTTGGCATATGGTTGTGTCAGTTTCGCGGACGGTGTGTGTACAGCAACAGGCCTGTCGTACCCAGTGTTTGAAGTCCAAAGGCGAAATCCGCGCTTCCATGTCCACAATAGGACCTGGCAGCTGGTCGCTGCTACATACCACCGACAGGGTGTCTTGTTTGTACTCTTTTCGATTCTCGATTCTGCTCCCACCAGCCTGGTGTCAAGATGTAAAGTACATAACAAGACGGCGGTGTGCCCAACACTGCACCTTCATACCGGCATTGGTTCTACACGTACATGTGTGCGGAAAAAAACGTATGGGACCCCCTAGCATCGGTTCAAACAGCAGCTGCCCAGCTGCGGAAGGATACGTAGAGAGAGAGCTGGCGCCGCCGACAGTCAAGTAGACCGATTCCTTGGGGAGGCGGCGGAGGTGTTGGCAGTCAAGTCGATGCTATAATAGTGCTTTGAGAGGTGGTTGTGGGGCTTGGGGCGAATGGCAGGGATCGGGAAGTCATCTGCTACACATACACCAGATGATGGGGGGAAGGATGACAAAAAAATAAAAAAGTAATCGTCATGCGTAAGTTCAAGGGCTCCCAAAACTGGGGGTATGATGCAAGAGACGATGGATCGTTTTTTCAAACATTTAAATCGCGAGCTCAACCTCGTAGAATTGAGAGCCGGGGTTGTCAAGCTCACCCCATGGAGGAGGGTAGCAGCTCAGGTCTTTAGCTATGTACCGAAAATTCGAAGGGTTTACGCCTACGTTAGCTTTGTCGACAGGACCTCCCACGCTGGCTTCACGCAAGCGGCGGGGTGTTATAGTGGATGCATGCATCCTGCTTCGAAACATGTCACACAACGTCTCTGCGCGAGCACAAAAAAATCCGGCACACCCCCCGCCCCGCCCGCGGCTCTCAGCAAGCGCACCTCACACATGAATCACATCGTGTCACATCGTGTTACAGCAGCAACATGGTAGAGAGCAGGGCTATTACACACACCGCCGGAAACACACAGCGAGCTTCTGTTGACGTGTGCTGGTTTGGAATAAAACAAGCGGTATAATTTAGTCTAACAACCATCGTGGTATCATACATAAACGAGTCGAGAGGTCTCGTTTGAAACAGCAAGCAACCAGCCGTATCGACGCTAAAAAAAGTTCTCGAGCGCGTTGCTACGGGTCCACCTGCCGAGACTCTCGGCCTGTGTCTTCTCTCAAACCCAGCGGTTCTCCGGTCTCAGGGCAGACGTGCGGGGGATCACAAGCCCTGGAGCGACGAGATACTGCTGTCCATTACAACAACAACGGCAGTAGCAGCGCAGCAGTCTACATACACGAGGCTTCCACAGGGTGTTGTGTTGCGTGCAAAATGTTCCAAACTCGCTCTCTCACCCCGTAAGCACGCCGAGGGATTCCCTGCAGTCGGCTCTCCCGCAACTCGTCACCTGGCTCCGTCTGGGAAGCAACCCGACCTCCTCACGGTGTGCACAGGCAAAGCAAGAGACAATACAGGACTTCGTTGTGCCTGCCCTGGCTGCCCCTGCCACGAACTGCTGCGTGTAGCCAATCTCAAACAGGAGAGCTCAAAACCAAATGCCTTCCTGATGAGAGAAGACAGCCCTCTCCTTTAGTCTCGTTCCTGGTGTCGATCGTCGACGGGCGGGTTATGTTGCCAATCTCTCGTGATTGCTGTAAGGCCGAACGTCACGCTTGCGACGACATCTCTTCTCTCCACGCAAGTTATGTGTATGCTGTCATACGAACGAGCATTTTTTTTTGACGACATGGGGGGGTGTCATATCACGTCATCTGCGAGGCCTCTAGGTTACTTTTGCCGGCTGTTTACTATATAAATATTTATTTGTAGTCCATTATATTACTGTCAACTCGCTTACTGTTTGCCTCTCTATCGCACAGCAGTCCAGGAGGTACACAAACTCCGCCTCCGTGACGCCAATCGTGCTCTCGGCAGCCTGCGCTCACGAAAATAACACCACGGCGGTGTGGTGATGTATTGTTTTCGCAGCAGTGTACAATGGAAAGCTCTCGAGTACTTAGTAGTCTTACGGTCCGGCCGTAGCAATGCAAAATGCTCCAACTGGTGCGGTGAAGACGCATTCTCACTAATTTTCTCCTCCGGAACAGGTGACCCCTTCATGCTACTGTTTTGTAAGACATGTAGTCTAAATAGTGAGATAAATGAACAGTTCTTCAGTACTTACTATGATGCCCTGTTCGTTCCTGTTCGTTGGGCACGCAAAGTTATGTCGGTTAAATTCACAAGTAAGTTCCTCGTGAGACCTCCTGTATGACCCATCCATTATGTCGTGAAAGGAAAGAGAGACAAGAAGTGGTGTTCCAGGTACCCCGCGCTGTCGAGACAAGCGTACGGAGCTTAATATCGAGCGCCTTCATGTCTGGACAACGTTGTCGCTCGGTGACCATCCTCAAATCGTTTTAACCCCCCCCCCCCCAGGCCTCATACGGGCAAACATCGACCGATCTAGAAAGATGGAGAGTAAGAAACAGAGGAAAGTGTTCCGGTGGGAAGTAGAGCGTTTGGGAGACTAGGGGACAGGGGATGAATTCCAGAAAGGACTGACTGGTAGTGTAGAACCCTCCAGGAAACTGCTGAGAAGCGTCGAAGACGGACAGGTAGACGCACAAGCAACAGGGGATAGGGTGATTGAAGGGTGGGAGTCCATGGTGAACGCAACGGCAGAGAGAGTNTAGGGGACAGGGGATGAATTCCAGAAAGGACTGACTGGTAGTGTAGAACCCTCCAGGAAACTGCTGAGAAGCGTCGAAGACGGACAGGTAGACGCACAAGCAACAGGGGATAGGGTGATTGAAGGGTGGGAGTCCATGGTGAACGCAACGGCAGAGAGAGTAGTTGGAAAGAAGGTGGTACGATGTGGGGTATCGGTTAAGTGGTAGGATGACGAGCCCAAAGAAGAAATAGGGGAACGTAGAAAAGTCTTCAAGCAGTACCTGAGTGTGGCGTCTGAGGAGAGTTGGGAAAAGTACAGGGCCAAAAGAAAACAGGGGAAGGGACTAACTAAACTAGTGAAAAAGAAAAAGTGCATTTGGGACGAAGTAGTGCAGAAGGCCAACGGAGGCCTGGAGGGGAACATCAAGCAGATGTGGGAAGGGATTATTGGAATTGTAAAAAAGACCGCGCAAGGGGGGGATACAGGGGTGGCAACTTTGCGAGGTGTGAACGGTAGTGGCAAAGGAAAAATGGAAGTTGTAGCAGGACACTACGAGCGACTTGGAGTGTCCTCGGAGAATGATGCATTTGACCAGGTGTTTAAGAAGGAGGTGGACGCATGGGCCCAGAAAGAAGAAGAGACATCGAAGGCAGACGTTGGGAACGTAGAACTAGAAAAGGAGTTCACTGAGGACGAGGTTGAGGCGTGTGTGAACAAGCTGAAGTGCCACAAAGCAGCAGGAGCGGATGGGATAGTCAACGAGTTCATGAAGTTTGGGGGGAAGGGGATGATCCAGCTGATGGTACTGCTGTACAATTGGGTGTGGAAAAACGAGTATACGCCAAGTAGATGGAGGGAAGGAGTGGTTGTGAACTT